TAGATGCAGAAATGGCATTTGACAAAACCCAGCATCTCTATATGATTAAAACTCTCAGCAAAATTGGCATACAAGGGACATACCTTAATTTAATAAAATCCATCTATCACAAACTCACAGCCAATATAATACTGAATGGGAGGCTAGGCGCAGCACTTTGGGAGGCCGAGGTGGGTGGATCACAACGTCAAGAAATAGAGACCGTCCTGGCCAACATGTTGAAACCCCGTCTCTACTAAAAATACAAAAATTAGCCGGGCGTGGTGGCACACGCCTGTAGTCCCAGCTATTTGGCAGGCTGAGGCAGGAAAATTGCTTGAACTCGGGAGGTGGAGGGTTGCAGTGAGCCGAGATCACACCACTGCACTCCAGCCTGGTGACAGAGTGAGACTCCATCTCAAAAAATAAATAGGCCAGGTGTGGTGGCTCACGCTGTAATCCCAGTACTTTGGGAGGCCGAGATGGACAGATCACAATGTCAGGAGGTTGATACTGTCTTGGCTAACGTGGTGAAACCTCCTCTCTACTAAAAATACAAAAAAATTAGCCATGTGTGGTGGCACGTGCCTGTAGTCCCAGCTACTCCAGAGGCTGAGGCAGGAGAATTGCTTGAACCTGGGAGGCAGAGGTTGCAGTGAGCTGAGATTGCACCACTACACTGCAGGCTGGGCTACAGGGCAAGACTCCGATTGAAAAAAATAAAAAAATACTGAATGGGGAAAAGTTGAAAGCATTCCCTCTGAGAACTGGAACAAGACAAGGATGCCCACTCTCACCAGTCCTCTTTAACATAGTACTGAAAGTCCTAGCCAGAGCAATCAGACAAGAGAAAGACAAAAAGAGCATCCAAATTGGTAAAGAGGAAGTCAAAATGTCACTGTTTGCTGATGATATGTTTGTTTACCTTGAAACTCCTAAAAACTCCTCCAGAAAGCTCCTAGAACTGATAAAAGAATTCAGCAAAGTTTCTGCATACAAAATTAACGTACACAAATAAGTAACTCTTCTACTTATTTGTAGAAGAGCTTCTACACCAACAGCGACCAAGTGGAGAATCAAATCAAGAACTCGACCCCTTTTATAATAGCTGCAATAAATAAATGAATGAATAAATAAATAAAACACTTAGGAATATACTTAATGAATGAGTCAAAAGACCTCTACAAGGAGAACTACAAACACTGTCAAAATAAATCATATATGACATAAACAAATGGAAACACATTGAATGCTCATGGATGGGTAGAATTAATATTGTGAAAATGACCATACTGCCAAAAGCCATCTACAAATTCAATGTAATCCCCATCAGAATACCACCATCATTCTTCCCAGAATTAGAAAAAGCAATTCTAAAGTCATATGGAACGAAAAAAGAGCCTGCATAGCTAAAGCAAGACTAAGCAAAAAGGACAAATGTGGAGGCATCACACTAGTTGATTTCAAACTATACTATAAGGCCATAGTCACCAAAACTGCATGGTACTGGTATAAAAATAGGCATGTAGGGCCAGGCGTGGTGGCTTACGCTTGTAATCCCAGCACTTTGGGAGGTCAAGGCAGGTGGATCATGAGGTCAGGAATTCAAGACCAGCCTGGCCAAGATGGTGATACCCATCTCTACTAAAAATATAAAAATTAGCTGGCTGTGGTGGTGGTGGGCACCTGTAATCCCAGCTACTTGGGAGGCTAAGGCAAGGAATTGGTTGAACCCGGGAGGTGGAGGTTGCAGTGAGCCGAGATTGTGCCACCACATTCCAGCCTGGGTGACAGAGTGAGACTCCATCTCAAA